GTGTAAACACACAGTGTAAACACACAGTGTAAACACACAGTGTAAACACACAGTGTAAAAACTCAGTGTAAACACACAGTGTAAACACACAGTGTAAACACACAGTGTAAACTCAGTGTAAACACACAGTGTAAACTCAGTGTAAACACACAGTGTAAACACAGTGTAAACACAGTGTAAACTCGGTGAGCCACCCCAGCCCATGGACTGTTAGTGATTAATTTCCATCTAAGCACTAATAATAAAGACGTATGTCAGGGTGTCATTAAAACGGCTTTATTGGGTCTGTATTTTAACACCATACAAACATCTACAACTTTCCACTGAAAATAAAACCCTCATGTACAAAAATGTGTTGTTTCTCTAAACCCTCGTCTACATGTTCAATTGAGCCACAGCAACCGTCACACAACCAACAAGTAGCCTTGGAATGACATTTAAACACCAACACAAGCTGACCTGTACACCAAACAAAAGAAATAAAAAATTAAAAAGAAACCTCCTGAAGCGTTGACTTTCTGAAAAGTTTCACTTCTTTACAAAATGAACAGTAAGATAAGCGTATCCCACCAACATGTATTTAACAGATGTTTGGTGGAATAATGTAACTGTACACGAGTGTTGGATACAGAAGCTGCCAGTGACATGTTGGTGTTGTCTGTGAGCTGGAAGCTCAAATTAAACTAGTTGGAGATGAATAAAATATCCATTTTTGAAAGATAAGGAACAAACTCACGATTCATCAAAAACGTGGTAAAAAATAGAGAAATCAGGTTTTCCTTTAGTGTGAAGACGTGATGATGCACTGATGAGTGTGAACTGATCCAGTTTGTGTAGATTTGTTGGTTAATGATGTTCAGATTGTGTTAAAGCTGTTTCTAATCAAAGCCTTTATCTGAAAACAAAAAGTTTCTGTTCATCTGTGAAACTGACGAGACTAAAGACAACAAAAATAAAAAAGATGATACTTAAACCTCAGAAGAAGAAGGATCTCCTAACTGCAGCTGCTTAGCGCTGACTGTCAGTAGAAGGGGATCGAGAGCGGGACCTGGATCTGGAGCGAGACCTGGAGCGGGATCGGGAGCGAGAGCGGGAGTTGGAGGCTCTCTGAGCCGGCAGGGGGGAGGACGGGGTCACAGACTTGCTGGTCTTGGAGGAACGCTTGTTGGGCTCCTTTGATTTGGGGCTCGGGGAGGAGGTGCCGCGGGCGGGCGAGCCGCTGCGGGACCGGGACCGGTGGTGGGCCTTGGCAGGACTCCGGGAGCGTCTGGGAGAGCGGGACTGAGAGCGGCCGCGGGAACGGGACCGGGACCGAGAGGAGCTGTCGGAGCGGGAGCGACTTCTGGACCTGGAAAAATACACAATAAACTGTTAGTAAACTGACTTTATACACACAGAGACACACACACAGACACACACACACACAGAGAGACACACACACACACACACAGAGACACAGACACACACACAGACAGAAAGGCAGACGTGGCAGTGGAAGGTGTCAAAGCAGTTTGGAGAGAAAAACAAAGTAAAGAACAAAAAAATAATCAATTATTAAATTAGTCATCGATTATTTTAATACTAGATTAGTTGTCGATTAATCATAGCAGCCCTATTAATACCCGCCCCCGATCATGAGTCTGTCATGACTGTTATTTTGTGTAAATTACGTATCTTTCGTCACAGTAGCTTGTTTATTTTTCATTATTATCTAATTTCACCTTGAGAGCCTGGTACGTTAATTATTCTCATTTTGATCTGTTTATTTGTATTGTTACCATCTTTAATTCTATTATCATTGCTACACTTGATAATGTCACAGTAATATACCATCTCTGTGGATTAATGTATCTGCTGCTATTACACCTGAAGTTCCCCACGTAGGACAATAAAGTCTGTTTCTATCCTGTTCTATTCTACCACTTGTTTTTATCCATATCTAACTATAGCAGATCCATTCTTAGCAGGCAGTTTTAAAACTTAATTTAATTTCTGGAAATCCTCTAATGACCCATAATTGGTTGTTTTAGGACCCACAGTGGGGTCTCAACCCCAATTTGCTGCAGATGAAACCTTTAAGTGCCTGAGACATCAARTTTTTTGCAATTTTGGAAAGACATTATTAAAACATTACAAGATAAATTTCACGATGCTCAGATGAACAATTGAAATATTTACATGTGAAGTAACAGGAAGTGAAGTAACAGGAAGTGATGTCAAAGGGGAATGTCTGCATGTGAATATTAAAAAAATAATTTTTACCAATTATTTTATATTTGAGAGGAATTACAACCATTCTATGTACACTTTAACATTTTAAGACCTCTGAAAGGTTGATTTAAGACCTTTTAAGGCTAATTAAGGCCTTATTTTTGGATCGATGAATTCAATGACTTTTAAGATTTTTTAAGGACCCTAAAGGAACCTGTTTATTAAAATTACTACCAACCTCAGAGGTTTAAAACCAGACAAGCCTCTGCTGAGAGTCATCTCATGTTGGAACATAACTCCAGTTAAAATCAGATCATTAATTTATGGAGTTATTGAATCAGTTTTTAGTATTGTTTTTGTTCAGATGCTGTAACCAGGGGCAGTTGTGGAGGGGGAGGGAAGGTGTGTTTGAACTTTGTGTGGACCACAGGAAGAGTGGTCTTCACATGGGTGAGGTCTTATGGGGATCATTAGTAATAAAAAGAAAGAAGCAGCAGCATCAATGGTATCGGGACACACCCAGTGAAAATCACAAACCTGAAACTGTTATTTGAGAAAAAAAGCCACATTTAAATGATAAAGGTAAATATTTTGTTGCTTTAGCAGAGTTTGGATTAGGGGATCTGAAATAATATTTCACTACTCTGATGACTTCCTTCCTGCGTGCTGATTCCAGCAGAAACTCACCTCTTTTTGGCAGCTTCAATGAGTTTAATTTTCCTCCCATTGATTTCCTTTCCAGACAGTTTCTCAAGCGCATTTTTCAGGTCGCTGTGAGAGGCAAACTCAACCACTCTGAGGAGAGAAAAGCACACTGAGTTGTGTTTTTTCCAACACTCCCACACCTCTGTGACATCAGTTATCCAGTGTGACGCAGTGCTTACCCTTCATTGAGTTTGGGCCGATGTGCGTCTGCGAATGTCACCTCTCCAGCTTGTCTCATGAAATCTTTCAGGTCCTACATATTAAACTTGTGTCAGTTCTGGGAGAGACTCGGTGCACAAATACAGGCTGACATTAAACTGGATTGATTTACCCAAAAAGAGAGATGGTTAGATTTTCAAAGAAAACTAAACAGGCTACTGCAGATAAAGAGCAAGAGTCCAGGAAACTCAAAGTCTGTTTAACTAACAGGATAATTAAAAGAATAGAAAAATAAAGAGCATGAACTTAGATATGAATCTCTTTAAAACAGGAACTGAAACACAAAGTCAGTTTTTGGAATAGCTTTGAGTTCCCTGAACGCATCGCTTGTTACACTACAGAAATTAAAACCATCTGCATGAACTGCAGCAGTGGGGCCTCCTGGGAAGCATCTGGCACCAAGAGCCCCATGTCAGGGCACAGGGCTCGCCGCCCCCACCTTGGCACCCCACCTCAGCAAAGAGAGTGAACAGGGTGGAAGAGAGGAAACTACTACCTGAGAGCGAAACCCTTTGAGGTGGGCCGCAGACTGTCCCGAGCCCACCACAATGAGGATTACAGCAGATTATTTCCATGGACACCTGGAAGGAATTCACACTCTCTCGCGATGTGCGGGAACACCACAGGGGGAGGGGAGGGGGGATAGCGATCGATCGAAGCCCCTCAAATTAACGAACCAGCGATCATTACGTCACCACCGTCACCATCGACTCTTTCGTCTGCTTTCTCTCTGCCAACTCTGTTTCCTCTCTCCCGCTCTCAACCACACAGCAGGCGTTGCGAGCGAGCGAAGGGCCGCCAGCGCCTCTAGTGTGGAGCGAGCTCTCACATGACCAGCAGGCATCAACTAGGAGTAGGACACACTGGCTGACAGCACAGGCTCAACCCAGACAGAAGGACCCAGAAGGGGTTAACTCCACCATAAGCGAGCTCTTCCATATGCCACAACAGACAGGCTGGCAAATAAAGGGGTGGAGAATTGGTTACAATTTGAAAACAGGAACAAATTTGGTGTTTTGTTTGTTGCTACTGCTGTCTGAGCTTTTAATAAACTGCACAAAATACAAAGAAAATTAGAAATGCTCATCTCAAACTAACATTTTGGGCTTTAATAAACAGATTGCTAACACACTACCCTGCTAATTCTGACAGTACTACTGACTTAATGACATAAAATATAATGTGTTTGGATTTTAGCAGCCCAGTAAAACAAAGTATGTGTATAATGTTGGAGGCAGATAAATGAGGGTGATAAGATTTGTGAAAATAAAGCTTTAWAAGTTAATACAGACCTGCCAGCTCACACGAGAGGACAAGTTCTCCACAATTAGGCGATTCTCGGTGCGCATTGGAGGAGGGTTTCTTTGGAGACAAAAATAAATACGAAWATTAAGCAAAAAATAAAAAAAAGCTTAGCGCTCTCAGCACACAACTAATTATTTTAAAAGTGGGGAATCAGTTAAATTCAATACAGGGTTCCTACAGTTTAAGGTCAAATTAAATTTAAGACAATTTCATAATAAACACAAATGACAAAAAAATAAAAACTGTAGCAGCAACTCATGAATCAAAGTAATTTTGGTTGAAATATTCAAATATTTCGCTAACAGACCAATTGTTTATCTAACTGCTTTTTCGTTAAATACAGCAAAAACATTCTTCACAGTCAGTTTAACAAGACTAAATTTGTAGTTTTAGGACCCACAGTGGGGTCTTYACCCTTAAAGTGTCTGTGACATCAAAGTTTGTAAGAAAAGTGAGTGCATTTTTTTTTAGAAAAACATTACTAACATATTACAAAACAAACGTCACATTGCTCAGATGGACAGTTGAGATATTTACATGTGAAATAACAGGAAGTGATGTCAAAGAAGAAAGTCTGCCTGTGAACGTTTTAAAAAATAAATGTTACCGATTATTTTAATATTTGCCAACCGCCATTAAACCAAAATAACAATAAGAATTATTTTAATATTTGAGATGAATTACAGTCATCCTACTTGCAATGTGTTAACATTTTTAAGACCTCTGAAAGACTGATTTAAGACATTTGAAGGCTAATTAAMGCCTTATTTTTGGATTGATGAATTCAAAGAATTAAGACTTTTAAAGGATCCACAGGAACCTGTAATAATACGGTTGGTTTGCATTTAAACACTTTGAAAAGACCACACTAATAAAATCAGCAGAAAAAAGCTGGACACAGAAGAAAGTGATTAATTAAAAACGATGATGTTTTACCTCCGACTGCTTTGGGAGCCTCTGCCGTAACGATCAGAAAAACGTCCTCCACCACCGCCGCCGCCGCCTCGGCCCCGACCACCTCGCAGACGCACACGAGCGTGCTCGATGGTCACCCTGCAATCCAGGAAAAAGGGTTTCTAAGCGACATAAATAAAAATACTTGTAATTTTCTCTTTTTGTAGCTGAAGTTCGTACCTTTCATTGCACAGCTCTTTGCCATCAAGCTCATATACAGCATCCTCAGCATCTCTGGGATCATCAAACTCCTACAACGAAACAAACATTTCAAACAATAGTTCAAACTCCTCATGGTTTACCTGCACACATGTTTGAAACAATAAGATTAGGATAATGAGTTCATTTCTTCAGCCACATGGCTGAGCTCTGCTGTGGGTGTGTCGCCYACAGTGCAGGCCGCAAAATAAAAACAGATCCGTTTCTATCTGCAGGTGTTAACAGGATGTTTTCATACCTTACTTACATCCATAAAGATAAAATGTGCTCTCTTATCTGCACTCGGCAGTGTGGGAACCTCTCAGCAGATTGTGGCCAGCTCTAATCAACAATCTTGACCTACTTTCAGCAGCAACGATGACTCACCACGAAGCCGAATCCTCGCTTCAGGTCGATGTCCCGAATGCGGCCGTAACCTTTGAAGAACCTCTCCACGTCCTTCTCCCGGGCCGACGGGCTCAGGCGGCCGATGAAGATCCGACACCCGCTCATTTTACAGCTTAGTCCGCTAAAACGAACAGGACAAATGTTGCTACAGACGGTTAGCTAGCTAACACACAGACGGTTAGCTAGCTAACACACAGACGGTTTGCTAGCTAACACACAGATAGCTAGCTAGCACACAGATAGCTAGCTAGCACACAGATAGCTAGCTAGCACACAGATAGCTAGCTAGCACACAGACGGTTTGCTAGCTAACACACAGATAGCTAGCTAGCACACAGACGGTTAGCTAGCTAACACGGTTAGCTAACACGCGCGCCGTTCATTCGAGTTACCGCGGCACGATGCTGCGCAAAGCTAATTTCAATAAATTACAAATTTAAAATTAAAACGGAAGGACAAACTATCCTCAAAGCAAATATATTTCGCTACACAAAGTAAAATCCATGTAACGCAGAAGGACATACCTTTATGAGTCTCTTCAAGTGTTTAATTGTCGCAACTGTCTACTAAACAGCGAACCGCAGAATGAAACAAAATGGAGCCTCTCCACAGTTTCAGGGCGGAGCCTCGGGAAGAGAGAGAACGATCACGTGACTTGTGACGTTCACCCCCTCCCCCCGCAGAACACGGAAAAGACCGAAGGTTGCCGAAAGTGACCAGTTAATCTGTGTGGTTCCTGATTCTGTCCACTAGGCGTCACCCTGACTTTACAGCTTTGTAACACAACTGAAAGTAAATTAAAATTACTTTTATGCTTTTATTGGCTGTAAGAAATAAAGTTAGTGCCCTTTAGACAACGTCCAGTAAGTCATAAATTATAGTAAATGATTTGTTCTTCCTTGTTAGAGAGTAAATGTTTGACCTAAATGTATGAATTTATCTTAATATACCCAATAAAGATGTTCCATGATAATGAAAACACACCTAAATGTGTTGCACATCTATAAGTTACATTATTGTTAGTTTTACATGTAAACTGGTCCTGGATTAGATTAATCAAGTGAAGACATGATTCAGATCTGTACAGGCTGATTCCAAAGAAAAATGAATCATCTTCTTGTAACGCCCACGAGCAGATGAGCTGAGTGACACAGTAAAGACATGGACTGAAGAGAAAACCAGATTATTTCCCTTCCATTGACTTGAGTAAATTCACACCATTTTCCACATTTAAAAGGAAGCTTTAATTAGAAAGTTATATACACACTGTAAAATTAAATTAAACTTTATACAAATATTAAATTACTATCTTCACACCCACTGTAATGTACAAAGAAAAAAACAAGCTTAAAGCGTTGAAATTAAGAATCGGGATGTGTTTAACATGTTTTTTTTTGTGTGTGTGGGGGATAAACACCGTACAACAGTGCTTCTGATAGTCTTCTTTTTTTCAATCCCATTATAATAAAATGCCTTGTACCAAAACAAAGAAACAAATTCAAGAAATAATGAAATATAGGTGCTGAACAGGTTCATCATCAGCATCACAATCACCACAGCAGCTGGGAGAGCTGGGAGAGCTGGGCCAGGACAAAAAAAAAAGGATAGACATTCGTTAAGTCCACAACAAAAGGTCAACTCATTAATAAAAATAAAAACTGTTTTATGCATAGAATAGAAAAAGAACAGAGTAAGGCCATCAGGAAAACAAAATGTTGGACTAAAGCAACCAATTTGGAGGCGATTATACAAGAAAAGAAAATACAAGTTTAAGGCAYCATTCTGTTTACATGAACAATGCAGCCACTAACAATGACAGACTAATTTCAAATATAACTTAGGTTTTTTTTAATATATAACTTTTTCTTCCTGTTTTTTGTTCCAAAGCAGTTGAGCTTGAAAAGTCTGGGAGTCCTGCTGTTTCAGGGTGACAACTCCCCGAGGGATTAAAACATTTCTCTTAAATCTAGAGGAGCGACTGAATGTGAAGTGAACAGAGGGATATTTCAAAAGAAGAAAAAAAAAATTTTTTTCACTGCAACCAGTTGCAGTTTATTTCCACAACTCAAAAAAACAAAAACAAAAACAAAAAAAAAACCTGAAGAAGCTTCAGTTTATTATAAAAATGGGTGTGAGCGATTTCCTTCAGAGCAGGAAATATGTTGTTCTAACTCAAGCGCAGATGAATAATACACATAAACACACACATTGTGTAGTGAATTCAATGTGGGAAGTAAAGCTGCTTTGCTCTCATGACTGATTTATTGTTGGGAGGATATTTTCCTACGCTGAGACCAGCCTCTGATCAGCAAACAGGCAAACCAGGAACTGGCTGTTTGGATACGAGGACGGTTCCTCCTGTCCGGCTACACAAGATGCACACATATTCACTCACAATCTGCAACTCAAAGCAAACAGGAGTCACACACACAAAACAAAACAAAACAAAGCAGGAAGATAAARAAACAAAGAACTGTAAAGTTTAGTCGTGTGCCTGATCCCCACGCTGACGTGTTTGTGTGTAGGACGCTGCAGCTCGGACATCAGTCAGCTCCACTCAGGAGGCAGAAGAAGCTCCTGGACATGGTTTCAGCCGGCAGCAAAACAAGCAGGTCTTTTTGTTGTGATATGGTGCTTGATGAAGAGACAGGGGCTGAAGGAGCCAATGAGGAGGCTTCATGCTGAGCTGTGACCGGGGGTGGGGGTCGACTGAAAACATGCAGCAGAGGACCGCGAAAACTCACCAAACTTCTTTTTTTTTCCTCCAAGCACAGCGGGAAGACGACTGTAACTCCACAGCATCAGAAGCCAAACAAATCACAAGTGAATTCTTTCTGTTGTGTTGTTTTTTTGTGTACGTGTTGCTGTGCAGAGAACAACGTGTAGTTTTCTCTGAGCAGTACTTGTACACATTTCTACACTGAAGAGCTGCATGGTAACCTGTCAGACACAACCTTGAACAGGTGGGTTTGAATGTTTGTTGCAGGATATTCTTTGACTCAGGTCCTTTCAGAGACAGAGTCAAACATCCAGCCTGGACAGACAGAGGTCACACTCAGGAGCAGTCTGGACTTTTAGTTTGCCTCGTCTGAGTGCCGGGCCATCCTGGGCCTCATCAAAGGGATCCATGATTAGTTCTAACATTAGACTTTATTTCCTAAATATATATTTTAACTGTAAAATAAAGACTGTAAAATTACTGTAGGATGTTTAGTTTTTATCATTTTTAAACTAAAAGTTAAAAAATATATTTTAACACGGARGGAGCCATTTTATTTSCACACAAAGCATTCTGGGTAAATGATGACGTGGATAGGTCCTCMGTGCGAGGCTGCTAGCGAGCTATATCCACCCTGAAGGTTAATCTTGGACAATATCTGATGATCGACTCTTTTAAATGAAACCAGAGAGCGTTGACAGAGAGGAGAAGGTAGAAATGACTCAGCCTGGAACTGAAAATATGGATGGAGGACAACAGGTTAGCTTGTTTGTCGCGCTAGCACCGAGCTAATACATATAAGGCAATATAGCGTCGGCGCTAGCACAAAGGCTAACAGGCTAATCTGAGGTTGTTCTTCCATGAAGCAGCTCTGTTGTCCTCCATCCATATTTTCAGTTCCAGGCTGAGTCATTTCTACCTTCTCCTCTCTGTCAACGCTCTCTGGTTTCATTTAAAAGAGTCGATCATCAGATATTGTCCAAGATTAACCTTCAGGGTGGATATAGCTCGCTAGCAGCCTCGCACCGAGGACCTATCCACGTCATCATTTACCCAGAATGCTTTGTGTGMAAATAAAATGGCCCCGTCTGTGTTAAAATATATTTTTAAACTTTTAGTTTAAAAATGATAAAAACTGAACATCCTACAGTATTTTTACAGTCTTTATTTTACACTTTTTATTTTTACTGTCTGAGGTCACAGCAGCCAGGATGTTAGTTAGGTCTGTACAGGGTCAGTTTGCCTCTGTGAGTCCAGTCTGTGGGTCCTGCAGCGGTCCATCATGTCTCAGGTCTCAGTTCTGGTCCTGGATGTGGGCTCTGCTCTGACAGGAGGAGGCAGGTGAGGAAATGGACACAGCTCTGGTCACTTCTCGGCCTGTAGGAGGGGAGAGTGGGTCCACGGCCACAGTCAGTTCTGGACAGCAGTGAGAGGAGGAGGAGGAGGAGGAGGAGGAGGTGATAAGAGAGCAGCAGGCTTCATGCTTCCTTCAACAGGGGAATATCTGCAGGACAAACAGTCACATGATCAGAAACATACAGATCAATAAATGTTGTGTCAAACAGTTTCATGTGAACCTGCCTCTTCACTGTCTAAACTCTAAATAAGGTGGAACTGCAACACTTATTGCAACTCCACAAGCCCCTCTTTCACTACAGTCCTGAGGTGTCTCAGATCAACTCGTTTCGAGGCTGTCTCTTTAATCTGCACTTTAAACACCTGTACAGCTGCGCAGAAACCTTTTATTTACAATTTAATTAAAAGATGTGAGTCTGACCCAGAACCAGAGTCTGACCCAGAACCAGAGGAGAATGAAGACCACTAAATAACAGTTAAGTCCAGACCTTATTTAGTAGTTCTGTCACAAACACTGTGATGTAATAACTCAGAAAACATCATAAAAACAGAGAAAACTGAACCAGTTTAACAATAAGAACAAACAGGATATAAAGTTTTCTTAGCAGCACCAGGAGAAACTAAATGAATCTGTTCTGCTCTACTAGAGACTCCACAATAAAACACGTTTAATGGTTAAAACAGTGGAGTTAGGAGGATAAAAGTTTCTCCTCCTGGTTTATTTAATACATCTAACAGGAATAAAGTCACCAGTCTTCATGTTGTTTCATCTTACCATCAGAGAAGTCGTCTGTGGAGGTGACAGAGAGCAGACTGTGCTGGTCGCTGCTCTCAGAGTCTCTGCGGAGAGGGAGGGGGGCTGCACACGCACCACCTGGGTGCTCTCTAGCCCACGATGATGAAGAGGAGGAGGAGGAGGAGGAGGAGGGCACCTGATGAACCAGCACCATCTCTGCATGACGGCCAGAGGAGGAGGAGGAGGAGGAGGTTGATGGGAGACAGAAGTCAAAGTCTCTGTGGGGGCGGGCTCTGCTGGAGCTGTGGCCTCCCGCGGCCCCCTGAGGAAGCCCCTCAGAAAGCACGATGGGGACTCTGGACTCTGGAGGAGCTGCAGGAGGAGGTGGGGAGGGACCGCTGCAGGGTCCACTGCTTCCATATACAGCCTCTTCATAAGAGGGCAGCGTGACTTGAACCCCCTCCACCATGATGGAGCTGGACTGACCTGAGACCCCCTGCTCCCTCCTAAAGAACAGAGACAGACAGGTGGCAAAGACCACAAACCATGCATCAGTTCTGTATGACGTCATTAAACATGGACTACTTTTAAATCTTTGTTCTCAATTCTCAGAACAAAAGAGACACATCCTACAGATTAGAACCACAACAAGGACCTGGAGTTTAATTAACAGGTGAAGAAATCAGAAACAAAAAACAAAATAGAGCTTGAACTTGTGTTAGTTTGTCACACAATCACATGTTTTCTCAAGAGTTTCAGCTACAAAAACTATCTGCTGAGTTAGTGAAGGACCAAAACATCTTGTTTCAGTAAGACAGAAGCTTTTAGAAGGAATAAACACTTTACAAACATTTAGAAAATGAGGAAGTTGGACCTGAAATGATCTAATGACTGTGTGTTATGATAACAAACACTGTTAAGAGTCTCCATTAATCTGAGATAAAATAAACCGTATCCAGAGTTGTGTAAGTATCATACCTGTTGTGATGGAAGGACTTGAGTTTTGGCTGCACCAGAACAAACAGCACCACTAACAGCAGGATGAGGGCCACAGAGCTAGCTGTGGACGCCACAATAGACAGAGCTGGGATACCGAGCGGGGAGCTAGGCTCTTTGTCTGAGGGGTACACACAGACACAAACTTTAGTAAATATGTGGCTCAAATCGTGTTGTTATATTAAAAAATAAACACACAAAATGAAGCCGAGGTGACAAACCTTCAACCAGTCTGCAGCTGCTCTGCATGGGACGGTCCCATTCACCGTTAATACAAGTGCGAAAGTTGTAGTCTCCTTTCAGAGCGTAGCCCTCGTCACAGAAGTACTCGATGACCGTCCCGTGGCTGAGGCTCTGGCAGCGAGGAGAGCGGCAGCGGTAACCCCCGTTCTCCGGTTCCGTGGGTGGTGGACACACTGCAGAGAAGAGGAGAAGGGAGGATTGTTGTTGTCGTCATCGTGCAGAGAAAAATCTGTTCATCATTTCTGCCTGTGGGGAGGTTTCAGTGTTTCCTGCTAGCTCTGAAGGACAAAGCTTTCTGTTGGTGTGATCCTACTGTGAAGCACTGCAGGCATGTTTCAGTGCTCTGATGTGAATCAMACACAAAACATCACAAGTTTATTTATAAAATGTGTCACAAAACAGAAACTTTTTTCCCTCCAAGTAAAGGTAAAAAATAAAAATAGAGAATTTGCATTTCCTGCAAAAACGAGGTGAATGCTTAATGCTGAAAGATTTTTACTGAATATCTAAAAATGCTTAAACTAGCTTAAAAAGCTTAAAAAGTAGCTGTAATAGATGAATCTAGCACAAACGACGAAGAGCACCTACTTGTTAAATTAAGCAGTGCGAAGCTGAGATTATCATAAAAAGATGAATTTGGCTGAAAAAAGATCAAATTAGAAAAAAAAAACAGCCAAAAGATGCAGAAAAAAGTTCAAATTAGCAGAAGAATAGCATAAATACGACAGAGTATTTGAGCCACACAATAAGATTTTATAATTTTTTAAAATTACGAGAATAAAGTCATAATATTATGACAAAGTCGTATGGAAATAAAGTCATAATATTGTAGGGTCACCCCGAGGGGGATTACACATGTCCACCTTTCTTTGACCCTGGTCTCAGAAGACCTCCCTCAAAAGAGACATTTTATTTTCTTCAATCAAGGTAATAAACAAAATAATATTGTTCTTTATATTTTTGTTTAACTAAACATTATTATCAATTTATAAATCAAACGTCTGATGAGAAGCTTTTACTTTGAAGAGAAGACTGAATCGGATCTGACTCTCTCCTTCGGACCTGACGCAGATTTTCGGAGAGGCTGAAAAATGAAAACACTGGAAGTTTTACTGGAAGTAAGGAACCTGACCGGAGTTTCTTGCTGACCTGGTGAATTCTTCCTAAACACTTAACCTGATGGTGAAGATGCCTCCAGGTAAAAGCTGAATGTTTTGACTAAGTGGATCAGAGTTCAGGCTGACGTGTCGCAGAGACTCGAGTTCATTCTGGTTTCCTCACATTTTGATAACTTAAACGTTAGGGCTAACATCCTCCTTTCCTTCTATCTCTTAAACTTAAACATTGCCATCTAAGTTTAATGTACCTGCAAACATCTGGTTTATTAAGACCTTAAACCTGAAGTTCTGCTGTTTCTGTTAATTTTTAATTTTAACAGTTAATTAGTGCGGACGTGTACCTGTTTTTGTTGATGCTTTAACTCAACAAAATTTGATTCTTCACAATAAGTTGTATATAAATGATTTATTTTGATTCTATAAATAAATGATCTCATTTACGGCTGAATCAACTTGAATTCTCTGACTAAAGTCTGACTCATTAGTGTGGTCTCATGTTTACACAGAGAGGGTGTTTATTTCCTTAAACAGAAGAACCCATGAATTTCCTCATAACAGTGGTTATAAGAAGTGTAGTTGTACCAACCTCTACAATATTATGTGAATAAAGTTGCAACACTATGAGAATAAAGTCATAATATTCTAAAATTAAAGTCGTATACTAGTCTATACCCTTTACACAAAAAAGCCTGCAGTTATCTGCATTAAAATGAGGAACGTTGAGCAACTTGTCAAGTTGTTTTTTATTGCTTAAAATAAATAGTTAATCTTTTAGCACATTAGCATCAAATTATCAGTAGCAGGACTTAGAAATTGTGCAAACGACTATAAACTGAAGCTGTATTGTAATTAATGGATGCACTGATGGATTTAGTCGTCACYTAGCTAATTTGGATGAAATCATTAATCTAACAGTGACACGAGTCATCATGGACGACTTTATAAATACAGACACATGGCTGTACACGGCAGGGGTGGAAAATAAGCAGGAAATGAGGAATGGAAAATGGACACGTCGTGTAATATTATGACTTTTTTTCTCGTAATAGTACGACTTTATTCTCGTAATAGTACGACTTTATTCTCGTAATAGTACGACTTTATTCTCGTAATAG